TGTATGTCATAGTTGCACATCCTTCTAGTTGCTGTATGTGGGACATGGCCTCAGCATGGCCGGAGAAGCGGTGCGTTGGTGCGCGCCCGGGATCCAAACCCGGGCCGCCAGTATCGGAGCGTGAGTACTTAGCCGCTAAGCTACGGGCTGGCCCGCCCCCATTATCTTTCTTATGTAACCTCTACAGTGCCTAGCTTAATATTAATTCCTAGCAGGCAATTAAAAAGTATTCACTGTTCAATTTGATAACTTGTGGACAAGGCCAATGCTGAATTCATGGTGTGTGGAGATTAGATACGAGGATGGAAACTCCACATCCTACATCATAGAAAACAACATAAACCACACAGGTTAGGATCCATGAGCCATAGGGTGTGATTTAATCTGTGGTCTAAGACAGTCTGTCCGATGGAAGGAGGAAGAGGATATGTTCAGATGAGTGAGACACACTGGCTCTACCACACCACTCCCCTCTCCACCACGTCGGATATTACTTATTCGACGACTCTTGGTTGACCATCTACTATGGACCAGGCACTGTACTAGGAGAGAATCAAAGATATAGGAGACAGAGGATCCATAGCTTCCTCACTTTAGGAGACAGACAAGAAAACACTGTGTTGACCAGCACAGAGGAAAGTCACAGATATTGGAGGATTTCATCTATAAAAGCTTCCTGAAAGAGATGAATCCAAAGCTGAATCTTGAAGGAGTTATCTGGGCAAAAAGGAATGGGTGGGAAATAGAGGAGGGGGTCACACGCAGAGGTCAGGATATCCATTGGAGTGGCATGAAGAGGACAGGTTCTGAGTTGGGGAGGAGAGATGAGCCCAGAACCAAGGGCACAGAGCAGTCGGGAAGGGTCTTGTCGGTCTTGGTAAAGAATTTGGATTTCATCCTGAAGGCAGAGCTCGGGGGCGTGTTTAAAACAACAGAGCTGGGAATTAAAGTGACCAGATTTTTGAAGGAGCACTCAGGCAAAATATGGAAACTGGAAATGAGGGGATGAGGGGACCTAGAAGGAGTCTGTGGGAGGAAGCAAGCAGGAAACCACGGGGCTGGAGGGGGTGCAGGGAGCTAGACTGGGAGCTAGCTTGGAGCTGGACTGGCAGACAGTTGAGGGAACTGGGATCTCTCTCTAGCTGAGAGCGCTAACCCAGTCCACAGTGGAGACATTCATCCACGTGAGAGCCGGAGGAGGAGAAGCAGGCCGGGGGCTGGGGAGGCCGGAGTCTGGGGGGTCTAGGACAACACTGAGTTCAGTTTGTACAGACTGCATATGAGGCGCCATTGGGACATGCAATGGAAGGGAGGGAAGGCAGGTGAACCCCGGGACCTGGAGTAGAGCGGAAAAGTCCATGTCAGAGATACTCTGGTCCTCCGGGAACCCATAGGTACAGAGGTGTGTAAGCAGGGACAGATGCACGTTTTGTGGAACCTAAGGTTTGAGGGTCCTGCTTAAGAAAAATAATACAAATTATGAATGCAAAATCAGGCCCGACTCTGTGGGTCCTGGAAGGGGCTGTGCAGGTGAGGAGCCCTGGGGCTGAAATTTCCTTGGCTGTATGGAAATCCACCTTGGGTGTACGCACTTTGAGCTACCCATCTACTAGCTGGGGGAGCAAAATTCCTTCAAAAATGAAAGTTGTTAAAATTCTTGTGAGCAATGCTAACTGAAAAATAGAGGCAGGGAGAAAGTCATAATGAATTAATTGCAGGACGCTAAGGGCCTCCTTTGTTATCATTCCTTATTGCTCTCTAGTCTAACTTGAAATCAGAATGTTCTGTATGCATTAAGGTTAAGAAACTTTTAGATCTATTTTTCATATGGGGCTGTCAGAAAGTATCAAGTTGCAAACCAAATGAAAATTTGAAGACAAAACTTAAGAAAAGCCAACCTTTCCACCTAGTGGACCTCCAGAATAAGACATTCCCTAAGAACGCATGATTTGGGTATCTACAGCTCAACAAAACGTATTCATTCAGAATTTCGGGGTGGGGAAGGAATCTGTTTAAATTAGTAAAACTCTGAATTATGAACTGTTTTTGAAAGAATCACATTTCTGTTACTTTTGAGTCATGCAATTATTCAACCTAAATCCAGACTCTCTCCAAGAAAGTTATAAATTGCAAATTAGGAGATCCAGAGGCCGAAAACTACACGAGGTGGGGGGAGAGAGGTGGGTGGGACCGTCTCTCTCCAGACAGATAAAGACACGGGTGCAGTGGGTGATGAAGGATGAGGTAGCAACACCATTCTGCATTTTAAACTCATGTATAGCAGCAGCCACAGTATCTACCAGGGG